TGAGATGTGAGTGTGCTCTACATGCCAAAACTTATGGCAGCGACTTCTCAGATTATGGCCCGTTAAAGTTCACACTCGTGCCGATGGGCGATTTGTTATGTTTTGATTGCCAAGGACAAAACTGGCAAAAGCAGGTCGCGTGGCAGTGTATGGCAGCGTGGTCCAGCAGTGATTTCGAGGACACGTGCCCGCATTTTCGAAACGTAAGGTTTCACGGATTAATTTCAATTTGCTAGCGAGCGAGTCTGGGCAGGCGAGAGCGAGTCGACTACTAACGGGGGGAGGCTTTGCTGCTAATTATGTGTGGAATGTTTAAGATAAACAAAACACAATGCAGCAACGCCGACGTCGACGATAAATGCAGCAGCGGCAGCGTCAAAAAGGACAACCCGGCAAAGACGGGCACTTGTCAGCCGGAGCCGGGTTCACTGTTGTTGTTGTTGTTGTTGTTGTTGCTATTGGCCTAATCCATAAGTGTCGCTCAGAGGCACGCAGCGGCGGCAAGCGCTGATAGAGCACACTCTCACAGGCTGAGCAGCAGAGAGCGCGTGTGGCGAGGAGCCAGAGCCAGAGCCAGAGCTAGAGCCAGCGCCGTTGCCGGAACCGGAGTCGAGAAGGGGCATAATGATGTGGCGACTGTTGACATCGACATCGACGCGTCATCGACAGACAGCCAGGCTGGGGGCTTGGGTCTTGGCCTGGGTATGGGTATGGGTATGGAGTCGCAGCCAGTCTGTTGGTCAAAGATAACAGCAATTTATTTTCAAGTCATCATTTTAATTATCCCGTTCGCAATGTTGGCCAACCTTGCGAATGGGCGCGGCGCACATTAAACGTGACTACAACAACAGCAACAAGAACACGTTTGCAGCAGCAGAAGCAGCAACAGCAGCAGCCATTTTGCTCATTAAAATATAATATGTATTTTTTAATTTAACAGAAATGTTTGCACAAAAATTTCCTCGAAACAAAGTTGAGCTCCGTGCGTTGTCTCTCCGCAATTCCAGCTCCAACTTCAACTCGTTGCCCGAATTTGTGTCTGTCTCCGGCTAAACGGGGTTGGGGCCGACTGAAAATCCTTTTTGGTTTTTTATTCGCCATTTGGCTAACACGAAGCAGACCGCAGACCCAGTTCCAGAATCAGATCCAGCCCCAACACCAGTTGGTCCTGTTGTTGCGGCCCCGCCTTCATGCGTTTTTCATTTTACCGTTACCGGAAGCGTTCATGAGAAAGTTTCCGCTTTCATAACCGAATTTTAATTAACTTTCGAAAACCTAATTACAAAGTATTATTATAATGAAAAAGCAGTGCACAAAGCAAGCGAAAGGGGGCGGCCCATAGCACAGGAGTGGGCACGGGGCACGGGGCGGGGGCACGGGCATGGCTACCCAACCAGCGGAGCAAACTCTGGCCCTGCAGCTAAATAAAAAGTGCGGTGACTACAACGATGTCGACGACGACGACGACGACGACGACGACGACGCAGCAGACGACGACGACGACGATGTTGCCTCCGCCATTGCTACGTGCGCTGTCTTTGCCCCTTCTATGCACTGGGGGGGAGAAGAAAACGGGACCGGAGACGGGGCTCACTGTGACGCTACTTCCTGTGTATCCATCCGGCATAAGCTGACTCTGCTGCTACTGCTACTGCTTTTACGTGTGCGCCGCATTGGGGAGCAAAAAGGGTTGCCATTTTTATAACAGAGTCTCTTTTGTGGCCCCCACCTTGGCTTCGTTGGCAGCCACAGTGCCAGCTGGGCTCTGTTTAGCTTTCTGTGTCTCGTTTCGAAATTAAATATTCCATTAGAAAATTACTACAAGATTGTGGTTTTTAAGAGCAGCAAAAAAAGCTTACCAGCTAATTGGATGCTCCCTAACCCAAAGCTCACTCTCCACAACAAGATCGAGACTAAACTAAATTCGCTTTTTGTGGTTTGGCTAACTGGAACAAATCGGTACTTTGATTTCATATTAAAAGTAAGCTTACGCAAAGATGAAATTAGAGTATGTAAATAAATTTACACATTTAAATAAATATACATGCATTTTTCTCAAATTCAAATGCAGCAGTACTTAATTCTTAAGAAAAACATTCAAATGGACAATATTTTTATTAAAAAGGTTCGTCTATTTGTATACACATAAACTAACCAAAAATAGCATAACAAATTCATAAAACTAAAATTTGTATGATAAAAAATAAATTGAATATTTTGATTTGCAATACCTTTTGCTTTGGGTACGTATGAAGTTAATAATAAGAATCTATTATCAATATATATTCCAGGGATAAGTGTATAAGAGTAGACTTTGTTTTTGTTAGCTTTGTCACCTTTTCATTAATTCTCAAGTGGTTATACCTTCAGACTGAGGAAAAGGCCTTGCACAGAGTTGTTGGACTGGAAGGTTCTTAAAATAGTTGTAGAGACAACCTGCTCACACTTAGAGTTTATACCCTGTTGTTAGTTGTTATGAACAAAACTAAGCTCGAATCAAACGAACATTCTGCACAATGAAATAAATTGCGCCGCACTGCAACTTCTGAGTTAAAATATTTTAGTGACATTTAAAACAAACAGATTACAGCTTTTTCGTTCTTGGGTACATATTAAATATATTTTTCTTTATCGCTGATTGACAAAACTACAAAAACGGTAATATAAATATTTTAAACATTTTCTTAATTAGATTTTTAGTCTGCAGTGGCCTTCCATTCAATGTTTACCAGCCAGTGGAATCACATTAATTTTTAATGCTGAACCAAATGTCATGACAATTTGTGTAATTGTATTGTGACAGCAATTTCGGCTGGTGGGATTGGTTGGGGTGTTGCTTAAAGCTCAAACTTTTTTAATCGAATTTTATATGCAATGCCAAAATCGTCAACTTGTCTGTCATATGCGAACACAAATACATATTGATCGCATGCACAGGCAAAACAACTTTGCCTGCTTTAGCATTTATTACCAGATAGCTAAAAAACTGACAGACTTGAGAGCTCGAGCTCAACAAACCCAAGCCGCCCCCCCTGACTGGCATCGGGTTTGAACTTCTTTGCAGCGCGCATGTCTGACATGAAGGGGCTTAGAATATGGAATGTGAATAAAATGCTTGTGGGTAGTGGGTGCGGATGGGGTCATTTGGTGGAAACAACCCCAAAGCACAGATTTGAAAACCAGTTCAATTCCGAGGGGGTTGCTTGCAAGTAAAATGAAGAAACTCCAAGCAAACGTTGACGGCACTCACAATGTCAAGGAAAGAAAATCGAAATCGAAGCGACAACAAACCAACGCCATTTTATCGTGTCTGTCTCGTGTCCTCCTCCCCCAAACAAAGCGGCACTTCTGGGCAAGTAAAGGCCATAAAATGTATTAAAGCAACGGCTAAAACAAATTGATATACATAGAAAATGGTGACCTTCCAAGCTGCTTAATTAAAAAGACAACAGCTTGTTAAACATGACCGGATACCGCACACAGCACACCACATGCATCGCAGCGACCAGATAAGTGTCTAAGGCGCTGGAAAGGTACTTTATTCGAGAAATATAAATGAGAGCCCAGACCAGACAAATTTTAGATTCTTGAAATGAATCACAAAGATAAGCAACCATGGGCTCAGCAGTTATACTATATAACTAAAGGTATATATATATAGTCTGTGTTAGGGGTAACTGCGTCGGATCAGTTGTGGTTGTTGTTTATATTGCACAGATAAGAAGCAGATAGGAAATCAACCAACCCTAGGTGTCATATGTATATTACCAGCAAGCAAATAGGGATACAATGCTGCATTTGAGCTAGGGCTAGGGCTAGGTGACTATCGCACTAGTCAGGATAGTTGTTGTTGGCATTTGTTTACCTTGTTGTTTCGTTGCAATTTACGAGTGCGCAGCGATAAGTATTTTTTTTTTATCAAAAACGAAAACAGGAGAGAAAACTGCACTCTACATCCGAGTCACGATAAGATAGGCAAGAACTCGTCGAATCACACTTTGAGTTCGGTTTCAGGCCACAGGCACTATCGGTCGTTCCATAGCTCGATCCAATCAATACAGAAAGTCTTGTTGGAGGTCAGTTGTTTAAATAAACAATGGCAGCGCTTTGATTAGCCTATAACCAACCTATATGCATGTATGTACCTTATGGAAAGTTCAAACAAATTGATGATATATTTCATTTTTTTATATTTCAAACATTAAAATAGTCTTTTTTTTTAATTTTTGCATGATTTATAATATTAATTTTAACTAGCTTTAGATTTTGGAATTTCGTTATTTCGTTTTATGTTGACATTTATGAATTTCAATGCTTGTATTTTACATTGTGTTTTGTTTATTTTCTTCTTTCTTGTTGTTTTTTTTTTTGTTTTTGTTTTTTGTCATATTTAAACTATTTGCATTTATTAAGTTTAATCAATTAGCTTAGCTCAATGTAAAAATGCGCCTGTATGTGATTTTGTTAACGCACAATAATAAAATTAATATTAAAAATTATTGAATAATAATTGCAGTTTTTTCGTTCTTTGTTTTGTTTTGTTTTTTTTTTTTTTTTGTATTTTGTCTTGCTTTTTTATTTATGCTAATTAAATGTTAAATGCTATACAATATTTTTTTTAATGTTGTGTAGCATACAATTTGATTAATTCTCAAGTTAGTTTAAAATTTTTTGTTATTTGTTTTTTTTTTTTTTTTGTTTTGGGCGTCGAGTTTAATTTTAGCTGCCTTAAATACGATATACATTCACATATATTTATAGACTATTTACAAATTGTCTTAAGCCTAAATGAATTCGTACAATAACAGAAAACGTACAATGCAAATAAGAAATGAAAGGGTAATTGTTGTTGTACACACATATAAAAAAGATGGAATTAATTTATACATTAAAATTATATGAATAAAACGTGACGTTTCCAATGCATGGCCATATTTTGTTGCTTAGTTCGATAAATTTGAGGATTCTTGGGGGTCTTGTCTTGAAATTTTTGATGGAAATTTTTTGTTATGTTTTTGGTTTTTTGATCATTTGCGATTCGAATTCGATTGCCTTTGGAAAAAGGATTTGATTTATAAATGAACATTACACACAATCCCGCTATGCTTTTGCTCTCTCTCTCTCTCGCTCTCTCTCTCTCTCTATCTTTCTCTGTCTCTTTGTGTATATATACATCGGTTTCTTTTACACACATTTAAAATGCTGCATGTTTGTTATTGCTTATATAGAGGATAAACAAATGGCACGGAATTTCTTGTTTTTTTTTTAGCAAACATAAATTTTAACAAACTTGTTTTGCTTAACGGCTAATACAATTACCTAAATATGTGGCCGTTGTTGCGCTTACAACTACATCACTTTTTTCTTGAATTCCTCAACAGAACGAAAAACATAAAGGCATAGACTAAGCAAGTGCTTGCAAAAGAGTAGGTTGGATTTATTTACAAGTGTAGGAGCCGTACTCACGTGCCCGCTAGCTCAAAGGATGCGCCCAGGTGCTAAAAGCCATTGAACAGTCGCCCGCTAATTGGCAGCCCGGCAGCCCGGCTGGCCGACAGACCGAACACTACCATGTCCGCGATTCGGGCCTGGCATCATACACAAAGCCGGGCCTTGTGCCGCTGGGCTACAGCAGGTTCTGCAACGCGGCGGCACTGTTGAATGTCAAACTGTGATTCCAGTTGCGGTAACTGGCCGCAGCGGCATATTGCTGATAGTTGTTGTAGAGTTGCTGCTGTGCCGCCTGATGCTGCTGCAGTTGCTCCTCGCTAAGGTCGCTGGTAATGTTGGAAGAGTCCTCCTGCAGCTCCGCCGACAGTTGGCTATGCAGCAGCTGTTGCTGCTGCTGTTGCTGCTGTTGCTGCTGCTGTTGCTGCTGCTGCTGCTGTTGCTGCTGCTGCTGCTGCTGCTGTTGCTGTTGCACTGAGGCGGCCAGCTTTTGGGAGTAATTGACGGCCACCGCTGGCTTGCTGCTGGCCTTGGTTGTGGTGTTTGTAGCGGATGTCAGTTGCTGCGCCGCCTGTTGCTGCTGCTGCTGCTGTTGTTGCTGCTGCTGCTGCTGCAAGTGGTGCTGCTGTTGCTGTTGCTGCAAGTGTTGCTGCTGGTGCTGCTGCTGCTGATGCGAGCCGCCGCCGCCGCCAAAGCGCAGCATCTGCTCCGCGCGCCCTTAAGCCAGCGGATACTGGTGATGTCACAAGCTCGTGGTGCCGGCGGGCGCATGGTAGCCGAGACTCTGGTAGTACGAGTCCTGACCTAAGGCAGCGTGTGAGTTGGTGAGCGGACTGAGCGCATTATAGCCGGCATATTGGCTCATGTCGTACATCTTGATGTCCGCCTTCGACTCCGTGGGCAGCAGGCGATTGATGGAGAACGGATGACTGGAGGGCGTGTAGCCGGAGGGCTCCTGTTTCAGTGGATGCATCGACGAGTGGTAGTCGCTAATCAGCGACGGATGGCAACGATTGGCCATCATCGCGGACAGCTCCTCCTGCTGCAGCTGGTGGTGCTGGTGATGGTGATGCGTGGGCACGTGCTGCGGCTGCTGGCCGAGGCAGAGCTCGGCGTTGGCATGCAGCATGGCCAGCGCCTCGGCATCCTTGCTGTGCGCTGCGCTGAGCACGTTGACGCCCGCCAGCGCCACGCCGCCGCCGCCGCCCGCCTCTTTGTGGTGCTGATGGTGCTCCAGACGACTCGTGTGATGATGATGGTGCATGTGATGGGAGTCCTCGTGATCCTTCTTACCCGGACTGGTTGCCTCCAGGCTACTATGCGATGGACTCTTGTGCAGCTGTCGGATAGCCTCCTTCTTCTCATCCTTGAAGCGCTTCTGGCGACGCAGATAGCAGCCATTCTCAAACATATTGCCCGAATCCGGATGCAGTGTCCAGAACGAGCCTTTGCCCGGCTTATCCGGCGTGCGCGGAATCTTCACAAAGCAATCGTTGAAGCTCAGCGAGTGGCGTATCGAGTTCTGCCAGCGCTGCTGGTTCTGCCTATAGAATGGGAACAAGTCCATGATGAACTGATAGATCTCCGAAAGAGTCAGCATGCGCGTCGGATTGTTCTGTATGGCCATCGTGATGAGCGAGATGTAGCTGTACGGCGGCTTCGCGTGCGTATAGCTGCGTCTGTATGTGGTCGGCTTGTCAACGCCACGCCTAATCGAATTGGGTGAGCCGGGCTCCATGTCGCGAGTGCCCGGTGGCATCGTGCCATAGCCGCCGCTCAAGCCGGCCGCCGACATGCTCGCCGCCGACATGGCCATGCAGCCGCCCATGTTGCCCAGCGGCGAACCCATGCTCGCATAGCTCATCGAACTCGGGGTCATGCAGTTGCCGCCCATTGAATTCATTGCCGCTGCCGCGCCCATGCTGCCGCTCATGCTGGCCACGGCTGCGGCCGAGTCGAGCACGCTGGCGCCAAAGGTGGCTGCCGCTTGTGGCGACACGGACGACATGCCGCCCACTGTGAGGCCCATGCTATTCATGGTGTATGCCGAGCGCGCCAACGGACTCATGCTGCCGCCATTTGAGGTGGGATGCGGGTTGTTGTTGCTGGTGGGGACCGCACCACCACCACCACCACCACCACCACCAACGCCGCCGCCGCCGCCGCCGCCGCCGCTGGGTGCAGTGCCGCCAGCGCTGGACATGCTAACTGGAGCGCTGCTGGGCGGCGGCTCGGCATAGAGCTTCTGCATTATATCTATGGTGGTCTGGTGGGGACTCCCCTTGAGAAAGCTGTTCAATAGTTGCGCCGTTATGTTGCCGGCTTTTTTAACGCGCTGCGTTTAAAATGCAAATGCAATAAATTTAAAACGCGTTCTAGCGACGCGTTCGATTTATACAAATTAAAAATTTAATCAAAACTTTTTTGTTTCGTATTGTTGTCGTTGTTGTTGTTGTTGTTGTTGTTGTTGTTGTTGTTCAATGCACTGTCACTGCGTTAATTAATTTAAATATTTGCTGCATTTTTGTGCACTGCACTGCTCACTGTTGTTGTTGTTGTCGTTGTTGTTGTTGTTGTTGTTGTTAGATGTTGTCTATTCTTTAAGGGATTGCAGCTTTTGTTGCTGCTGCTTTTGCTGTTGCTGCAGGTTTGGCTTTGGCATTTGTTTGTGCACTTGTCGCTGCTCTTGAAGCTAAACACTTTGATTAATTTATTTGTGTGCGCCGCTGATGCCTTGTGCAAATTTGGAAATAAAATAACGTGGCAAATATGACTCTATTTTAATGCGCGCCGCGCCGCAACGAACCGACGCACGAACTCGAATTGTTAGCTGGCTTTTGGCCACTGAGTCTGAGTCTGAGGTTGTATCTGCTGCCGCTTTTGCTGCTGCTTAGCCAACTGGAGGCTGCTGCTGCTGCTGCTGCTGCTGATGTTGCCGTTGCCGTTGCCGGTGCTGTTGCTGTTGCTGGTCCGCTCGAGTGTCTCTTTGGCTTGAGCTCTTGAATGTGACTGTTTGCAGAGGGGAACGCTTGTCTACTATTTGGCTTGCGCTTGCTGCCAACAAATATTGTTCGAGCCGCGCTCAAGTGCCGCGCCGCGCCGTGCCGACGATGACGATGACAGCGACTGCGACGCCAGCAGCGACAGCCACAGCCGCCGACTCGCTCTCGCACATGGCCACGCACGCCCTGTTCCCGTCTCACACTCGCACACACACTAGCACACACACACGCACACAAACAGCGGCAGCTGGCAAACCGATTCACCACCGGCTCCGAGGTCTTGCCAATGACAGGCTTCGCTTCTCTTACGTACACAGTGCGGGCAGCGCACGCGCATTGGCCAGCGGCCTCTTGTGTTCACAGAGCAGCGCCTGGTTGCCAAGACAACAAATGGGCGGAGCCAAAGCCTGTGGTGAGCGAGCAACGCCCTCGATGTTGTCTGTGCTATCTCGGGCACACAAACACACACACACACAAACACACACACACACAGATTGAGCACTGAGCGAACTAATGTTGTGTGAGCGACGCCATGTTACAGTTAACGATTTTCTCTAATGCGATCAATAATCGCGCGCTCCCGCTTACACGTCAGGCAGAGGGCCCCAGCCCTGCCGGCTGAGACGCTGTGTTTAGCCAGAGAATGTCGACGGCGTTTTTGACAAAAACAAAAAGAATGTGTGTGCCTGGCTCCAAAGAAGCAAGACATTAATAATACCAGTTTGTGTGCGACTGTGTGTGTGTGCTTGTGTGTGTTTTTTCTTGCTTCCTTTTTTTCAAAGCTAGCACATTTGAGGTTAAGGTACGCCAATGTCACACTCATTCATTCACATTCGTTGCGAGGCGTCGCGCACAACAGCAGCAGCAATCGTCAGCAGCAGCAGCCGCAACAGCAGCAGCCGCAGCAGCAGCAGCCGCATCTTTCTTTTTTGGCAAGTCATTGCGAAAGTGACCCAGTTCTGGGCTGCGTCGTCATCATCCTTCTACCTGGGCTGCAGTTCATTGATGCACAACTGGACGCGTGCAATATGGAATACTTCCTGAACCATGGACCATGGACCGCCGACCACGGACCGCCGACCATTTATGGCCATGGATAAAACGCATTTTAATTTCGGTTGTAAAAACTTTAAGCAATTTTCGCTTGACGCCTTTCATTGTGCATTCCATTTAACCCTTTCGCTGTTAAAGTATCTTTCACGTCAAAGTGTGTGTGCCTGTGTGTGCGTGTGTGTGTGCTGGTGTGTCTGTGTACGTTCGTACTTACTCATCATCACGGCCATAACTGCTTTATGGCCAGGGCAATTTGCGTTTTGTAGTGCATTCGCTCCGCGCTCCCGCTCCCGTGCCCGTCCACTTTCCGTAACCGGTGCACACAGTTTTTCAATGAAAATTTTTACCCAATTATATGTTACCTGAAAGGTAAAAATGCGCGGAAAACCCAAATTGAAACCGCTTGTGCTGTTGTGCAGATTTTCGCCGAGTCCTTGCTTCATTTCCCCAATAGCAAAGCCCAAAAATTAGTTGGCCATTTGTCGGACCACATCGAAATTTAGGCTGGTCTTGGAGATAGCCCAACTAAATGGCATTCAGTGCAATATTCCCTAGCGCATTTAAATGAACTTTGTCTGGCTTATTACCAAGAACTTTTCATATCAGCTGTGTATATGTATGCATCTCAATCTGGTTAAGTTGTTTAAATTGTCAAGCGTCAAGATAAATTCATGGTTATCTTTCAAATTTAATTTTAGTTAATTCATGCCAGGGTAAAGTTCTGTTATGATTTTCTGTTTTGTTTTGAAATCTGCAATATTCAAAAATGTCTTTGAATTAATTTCTGTGGTTATTATTTGCATATTTAAAGTCTTGTTACCTATAACTGATTAATTCCATATAAAATGAGCATCTCTTTATATAGAGAAATTATTGATTTGCTTATAGAAAAGGTAGCTTAATGTAGTATTAGTTATTATTGCAGAGTTTACACACTCATAAAAGCCTAGCTCTTAATCCGACAAACTATATGCATACATATGTTATATATATCTGTCATGTATCATGTATATATGTTCATTTTAAGCACATCATTTCAAAGCGTGCGTTAACCTTTAATTGTATTTGATGTACATAAAAGTTTGTTTATGTGCAGAGCCAACAAAGCAGAGTACAAACATACTTATTTATGTACATACAGATACATGCATGTACATCTAACTCGATATGTACTATTTGTATGATGATACGCGGCTGCAAAGATGCTTGTTCTTTAATGCAGACTCAAGAGTTCGTCGCGCCTTTGTGTGCGATTCTAATAATGTGCTTAAATATTTAATATTTTTATTGTATTTCCCAGGCGATCCACAGTGCCTCGGTCCCATCATTGTTGTTGTTTGTCCGGGGGCAACGCTTTCCGATGACGTAGAGCAAATACTCGTAGTAGTCCAAAAATGTGCTACGTAGATGAATGTGTGCGCGTATTTATTTACCTTTTAGTAATTTATCTATTTATTTATTTGCTTTTAAAGCGCGCCACTTTCGGATCGGGTCGGGTCAGTTCAGTTGAGTTTCGATTCGAATCGGATTCATGTTCGGCTCGGACTCGGTTCGCAGCGAGTATTTAAGCCCTGTTCAAAATTTGTAATTAGTTTCCATTGTGGACGGACGCGCGCGTCCACTCGGCCAATAAATAGGCAGACATTTATATTTATGAAAAATATTTGCTTTATTTCTAGTTTTTGTTTTCTATTTGATACGATGTTGATATTACTTTAAAATGCTGCGCTTTTTGTTTGCTTAAAGCATTGGCTTGGCGCATGCGCCGTGTGGCCGTGACTTTACAAAAACGTCCATTTTGACCAACATTTTACAGATAAATGGAGTTCAGCTTCCGTTTCGAGCCATCCATACGTGTATGTGCGTGTGTGTGTGTGTGTGTCTCGCTCGTGTGTATCGATATAAAATGTATAATATTTATTTTTATTGTTATTATTTGTTATTGTTGATTTATTTGTTTGTATAATATTTTCACACAAATTAAAATACTTTGCCGACTCGTTGGCTTCGCCACGTAAAAATCAACCACGATGTCGACGCCGACGCCGACGTTGACGCCAACGCTGACTTTGCTGCGGCAATGCACGTGTATTTTACTCCCCCCGCTCCGTACTCAACAACATTTTAGTTATTTTTTTACTTAACCCAATTATCGCTGCTCATTAGTAGGCATTTAATTGTTTGCCAAAATTCATAAAGTAAAAGATAAGCGCAATGTTCTAATATGTCAGGCAAACAATTCGATGCCAAAGAGTTTTAATCTGACGATGTTTGCTTGGCATTAAGGCTTTATTTGATCTGCAGACACGTGTCTTCGGCTTACTCAATTTAATTTATTTCGTTTAGCAGAGTGCTTAACCCAGATTGACTAACAAATGTATATACATTAATTCTATGACTTTAAAAAATATTTTGGAAAAGGTTCGCACAGTTAAATATATTTATGTTCTTGTATTAGAGGTTTCTTAAGGATCTTAAGGCGATGACAGATCTCCATGCTTAACCGCTTTATTCTAAATTCATTTTATTTATTCTTTCTAATTTAGTGTTACGGCAACAGGCTAAATAGTTTTACGTCATCCGATATTGTACACCATAAAAATACATTCCTAAATGAATAATTAGGTGAAACCGGTTTAAGTTTTCTTATTATACCCTCTATTATTGAAATGACTAAAATGGGGTAAAATATGCTTGGCCAACAGTCTTTTGTATGCGGAATAGAATAAATTTTCTTCGTATAATACAAATATATATTTTCCTGATCAGTCCAAGTGGATTTTACGTCTCTTCTTTCTACAACTAAATCGTTAGAACAATCTGATTTTGTAAAGAAAACTCATTGATTTTTTTAAAGATTTCCTCTAGCCCATGAAGCATACTTACTCATGATAAGTATCAACAGCCAAGTGGATATTGCCATGTCCTTCTATCCGTCAGTAGGTTTGTATAAAAGTAAGGCCATGAAATTTTGTCTTTGGCATTATGTTTGTAAGAATTGTCCAGATAGGACTTCTATATCATATAGCTGTCATTAGTTAAGTTCTTTTAAAAGGCATATGAAAGTCGCTTAAGATATCTTGACCTTTTCAAGAATGACTATCATATAGCTCTCAAATAGCCTAAGATCATTTCTATGCCAAACTACTTATATAAGAGTTAACAAGACGCCAGGTTAACAAGACCCCAAGACCGCAGAACGTAGCAGGGCGTTACTAGAATCCTTTTTTTATTTTTAAGGTTTGCTAGGACGATTCGCTTAATGGATTAAGAGGTTTCTCAAAGAATTGATAGAGTTTTGTGCTGCAATTTTCAGATTTGATCACAGCTTCCCTTAATAGCTGGCATAGATGTATTAGTATCTGTGTCTGATATTGCGAGGAGTTTAATCGCCTTGTTGTTGCATTTGCCT